CCAAGTACACAATCAATATGGAGACTTAGCCCACACTCATCGCAAGTATAGTAGCATACACTCGGATCTGTCTTCGTCTCACAAATATCACACCACAAGTCACCGCTTGCGTTTCCCACACCTTGACATAGTGACAGAAAATGATCATCACACCTGTGTTTTACCTTTCTTGGTAAAGTAGCGCACCTCATGCATAAAGAGTACTCATCACAAACCGTGCAATTTAAGGGATCATCTTCTATTTCTTTGTTACATGCCTGACATCTCAAGATGATAAGATTAAGAACACAAGACTTTAATAAAGTATAACTCTCTTTATTAATATTAGCTTAAGAAAAACTCTCTCAAAACTTAAGCTCTCAACCCAATTCTTAATCTCTCCAAACAACTCTCTTAAAAACTCACTTAAGTTATGCAACACACTTGCATCTCCTTATATAAGAAAACCTCTAAACAATTTTCTTTTTCTCTTTAGTATAACTTCCTAATCTCTTATTAGGATAATTTCCTTTCTTTGTTTTGGAAACTTCAAGCTTTCTTCAAGCTTAAGTCAACAATCTCCTCCTTAAGCTTGAACTCTTCTTTCTTCGAATCTTGAACACCAATGAGATCTCTCATCTCTTTGAATTTGATCCTTCCAAGTGCCTTTGTGAGTATGTCTGCCTTTTGCTCAGTCCCGGGAACATGTTCGACCTCTATTTGACCATTTTCCACACATTCTCTGATGAAATGATATCTTCTGTGTATATGCTTACTTCTACCATGAAATACATGGTTCTTCGTCAAGGCAATTGCAGACTGATTGTCGATTCTTATCGTAACCTTCACACTTGCCTTTCCAATGATTTCACAGAGCAGATCTTGTAACCATATGGCTTGCTTTGCAGCCTCAGTCCCAGCCATAAACTCAGCTTCGCATGAAGACAGAGCTACCACATCTTGTTTCTGTGAGCACCACGTTATTGGTCCTTCTCCTAAGTAAAATATGTGACCAGAAGTACTCTTACCATCATCCGGATCAACATTGTGGCTGCTGTCACTGTATCCTAACAACTTTGGTAACTTTGCTCTTCCAAAACTTAAACCGAGACTTGTAGTTCCTTTTAGATACCTCAAACAATGCTTCATTGCTGCTCCATGCGATTCTCGGGGACTTTGCATGTATCTGCTGAGAATTCCAACACAGTATGATAGATCTGGGCGTGTGTGGAGTAGGTAACGTAAGCATCCAACATTCTTTCTAAAACTTGTTGCATCAATCTCTGTCTCATCCTCTGCTTTAGACAATTTCAGCCCCATCTCCATTGGTGTATGCGTCAAATTGCAGTCTTTCATTCCAGCTTCTTCAAGAATCTTCTGAGCATAGCGAGTTTGATTTAAAGTTATACCTTCCGGATGTTGATTCACCTCGATTCCCAAATAATATGTCAATTTGCCAAGATCACTCATCTCAAACTTGGATGACATCTCTTTCTTGAACTCAAGAATCGACTTTAGACTTGTTCCTGTAACAAACAGATCATCGACATAAACTCCAATAATCAACAGGTGCTCACCAATCTCCTTGCGATACACTGATGGTTCTTTTGAGCATTTAACGAATCTGAGCTCATGTAGATTTGTATTCAATTTGTTATTCCAAGCTCTCGGGGCTTGACGCAAACCATACAGAGCTTTATTGAGCTTGTAAACTTTGTTTTCACTCCCACTCTTATGAAAACCTTCAGGTTGCTGCACATAAACAGTTTCTTTAAGTTCTCCATGAAGAAAAGCTGTTTTAACATCCAAATGATGGATTTCCCAACCATATGCAGCAGCAAGATCAATTAATAGTCTAATTGTCACAATTCTAGCCATTGGGGCAAAAACTTCTTCAAAATCCACACCATATTGTTGCACATAACCTTTTGCAACTAGCCTTGCTTTGTGCTTGTTTATGCTTCCATCTGAGTTCCTCTTTAGTTTAAACACCCATTTGAGTCCAATTGGTTTTACTCCTCTTGGCAAGTCAACAAGATTCCATGTTTTCAACTTCTCAATAGATCCTAATTCCTCTTCACACGCATGTATCCATTCTTTGGACTCCTTTGCCTCGTCGAAAGTTCTTGGTTCATTGTTTAAACACAATAACAATGCTTCTCCTTCCTCTTATGCAAGGAGTACATAATCCTCAAGATACTTTGGCATATGTTTTTCCCTTTCTGACATTCTTAACACAATTGGTGACGAATTTGGTATCAAATCTTGCTCAGCAATCTCGTTTTCTTCTTCTCTGTTCTCTGCATCATCTAGCAAATCTCTGTTTTCTGCAGATTGTTCTTCTTCCATGCTTTCATCAAGGCCATGATTTCCAAAACCATCAGTCATAACTCTAAAACTTCCACTGCTATCTCTCATGACATCTTCTACCTTCCAGCTCCATCCTTTATTTTCATCAAAAATAACATCTCTACTAACTGTGATTTTCTTTGTAGTAGGATTTAGTAGGCGATATGCCTTAGATCCAGGCTCTGTTCCTAAATGAACAAGAACACGTGTTCTGTCATCTAACTTCTTCAAGTGTGGAGCTTCGATCTTTGCATAGCCAATACAACCAAACACGCGGATGTGAGCGATGTTTGGTATCTTGCCTCTAAACATCTCATAAGGTGTTTTGTCCTTAAGAGCCCTTGTTGACACTCGATTAATCACATATGTTGAGTGTCGTACTGCTTCACCCCACAGATAATTTGGCATCTCCATATGCTTGAGCATGCTTCTTGCCATCTCCATCAAAGTCCTGTTTCTCCTCTCCATTACTCCGTTTTGTTGTGGGGTATAAGGCGCTGTGAGATGTCTCTTGATGCCATGGTTCTCGCAGAAATTATTGAACTCTGCAGATACAAACTCTCCTCCTCTATCCGTTCTGAGAGTTTGTATCTTCTCCTCTGTTTCTTTTTCTACTAACATCTTGAAGTTTTTGAATTTCTGAAATGCATCTCCCTTCTCTCTCAGCAAAATTGTCCACATGTACCTTGAAAAATCATCAATAAGAACAAATATATATCTGTTTCCAGCTCTTGTACTTGGAGTAATTGGGCCACAAAGATCACCGTGCACAAGCTCAAGTTTCTTTGTAGCACGGTATGAGGTCGCCTGAGGGAAAACTCTTCGAGTTTGTTTTCCTAGTAAGCATGATCTGCACAATTTCTTCTCAAGTGGTGTACTCGGAGCTCCATCTACAAGCCTTTTACTAATCATGGAGTTTAGAGTGTCAAAGTTGACATGACCCATTCTTGCATGCCACCTACTTGAATCGTCTTGCTCTGTTAGATACAAACATGTATCGTCTTTCAATCCCATTCTTACTTTATACAGTCTATTTGGAGACCTCTCGGTTCTGACAAGCAGTTTTCCATCTCGATCTTGCATTGTTAGGTATCCTTCTCGTAACCTAATATCACATCCTGCTTCAGTGGCCTGTCCAAGACTAATTATATTGCTTCTTAAACCAGGGATGTAATACACATCCATCATCTTCCTTGATTTCCCATTCAGATCTATGAAAGCAATCGTTCCTTTTCCCTTTATATCAATGCGAGAATCATCTCCGAACCTCACCTTTCCTGTAATTGTAGAGTCTAGTGTATCAAAATACCTCTTGTCTCCAGTCATGTGATTGCTAGCCCCATTATCCAAATACCAGATGTCTTGTTTATCAGTGTTTGTCTCAAACTTGCTAGGCACACAGTGTTTTTCATTTAGAAAAACAACTTCATGAATCATGAGTTCATCAGCCTCCGATGTGTTCTTCTATGTTTCTTGAGTCTCCTGCAGTTTTAGAATTCTATTCGGGCAATGACTTGCAAAGTGACCTAACTTGTCACATCTGAAACATGTAACTTGGTAGAAATCTATGTTTCTTCCTCCATATCTCCCACGGCCTCTTCCTCGATTGAATCTGCCTCCTCTTCCTCTTCCTCTGTAGTTTCCACTGTAATTTCCATTGTATTCTTGATTAGAAGAGTGAGTATTAGCATACATAAGTTTGCTTTGTTCTTCTTGAGGTTCAGTTGAATCTTCTTCTTCTTTGATTCTTTCTTCATAAGCTTTAAGACGCCCAACGATTTCTTCAAAGCTTGTTGTATTAAGATCGAGTACTTGTTCCAAAGAAGCCACAATCTGAATATACTTTTGTCGAGGAAGACATTTAAGGAACTTTCTAACCAGTTTTGGCCCTTCAATAGTTGTTCCCAGAGCTGTAGACTTTGAAGATATCTCGGTTATTCTCTTCACAAATTCATCAATAGTCTCTGAATCTTTCATCTTTAATCGGTCAAAATTGGCCATTAAAGTCTGCAGCCTAGCTTCTCTAACTCGTTCTGCTCCTACATGCTTAGCTTTGATGGAATTCCAAACTTCTTTAGCTGTATCAAGTTCTCCTACTTCAAGGACTTGATCTTCTGGTATTGATTCAAACAAGAGTGCTATGGCTAGATCGTTCTTCTCTTCATCGACCGCCTCTGCTTCAATAGTTTCCCAAACTTTATGAACCCTCAGTATTCTCTTCATTCTCATTGCCCAAACTGTATAGTTTGTAGCGTTTAGCATCGGACAGGTGATGGAGGATGAGCCTCCTTTCTCTTTTGGATTTGCCACGACGATGGCAGTACTTTCTCCTTCTGACATGATTTCAAGCTCTGATACCAAATCAAGATGATAAGATTAAGAACACAAGACTTTAATAAAGTATAACTCTCTTTATTAATATTAACTTAAAAAAAACTCTCTCAAAACTTAAGCTCTCAACCCAATTCTTAATCTCTCCAAACAACTCTCTTAAAAACTCACTTAAGTTATGCAACACACTTGCATCTCCTTATATAAGAAAACCTCTAAACAATTTTCTTTTCCTCTTTAGTATAACTTCCTAATCTCTTATTAGGATAATTTCCTTTCTTTGTTTTGGAAACTTCAAGCTTTCTTCAAGCTTAAGTCAACAACATCGTCTGGAACTTTGCAAGGTAAAGTATAAGGGATGTTGATGCAGATCATGGTGAAACGGTTCCGATACAGAACTACACCGAACATCATACTGAATACTATTAATTTTGCAATCTTCATGAAGACACTCGTACATGAAACCATCAGTATAGATTTCACAAGCTCCACACTGAAGATTACTATCTTCATTAATAGGTGTCGGCAATGAAAGAGTGAGTTTATGGTTGTGCAATAAATGTCGCTTCTTCCGAGGAAGATTAGCACAGGCTTCGTGAAGGATGAAATCACATTCCACGCATCGGTAGCATGGATCACCGTTGATAGCAAGAATGCAACACCGACATCGCATGTGAGCATCATCCGTAACATAATTCTCATCCAATCTGAGAACATGCTCTTCATGACTAAAATGAACGATATCTCCATTTTCATTAATTACCTTGAATGGATCTTCGATTTCTTCTTCTTCTTCGGGAACATCTTCGAGCTCTAACCCATCCCACACTTCTTTTCTTGTTGCACATCTTGAATGAACGGCATAACTAGGACAACGAGAGCATTTATAACCTCCATAGACCCAATTAATCGTCTTCCGACAAACTCCACACTCCCAATTATCTCCTTCTCTTTCACCGAGATGAAAAGTATGAGATATGCGATGGTCATGACGATTTATGCTTATGACTCGCGGTAGATCCTCAATACAATCTTTGTGGACCATCAGATTGCATTCAAGACATACATAAGGATTGCGGTCGTCTTCCACACCACAAGCATTACAAGTAAAGGTGACTAGCCTTAACAAGAGGGTGAGACTATGCTTATGGTGCTTTGGTTCAGAAATTGTGAGTGGTGGCAATGCAAGAAAACAGTTTTTATCCACGTTTATGTTGCATATCGTGCAACGAACAAAGAAAGACGTAAGCTTACTTTGACAAAAATGACAAGAGTAGTCATCTATACGGTCAGATGATGTGGAAGTATTAGGGAAGATCTTGAGATTGTGATTGCACAGAAATGGCTAGTTGAGGTAGAGAAGGTCAACGCATTCTTTGTGCAACGTCAAGCCGCAATCCGTACAGTGATAGCCTATGTGAGTGACTGTATGTCTTTGCAAACTAGAGATGTCAGGAAAAGAGCACAAAGAGCAAAAAGAAGGCCATAGTTGAAAAGTATAACTTGATAAAGGATGATGATGAAACGGAAACGTGAGTTTAGGCATGGTGGCTACTTGGAAATCAGTAGAAGACATTTTTTATGATCAAAGAAGAAAGAGAAAGCAGAAGTTGAGTTATATAATTTGTGTCCTGTGAACTCTCCTCATCATGTACTAGTACTTATTAACTTCCGTGGAACTCATAAAATTCATTTTTAGTTTATTTTCTTTGTACCAATTAATGGTAATTGGTCGGCCGACACTGCCAGCTAATTGAAATATTAAAAAATTTAAACATACGCAAGTTTATTACAAGTTGTAAAAAATATCTATATTCCAAATGAAATAAATAGTACTTGTTTGAGTCTCTTGGCTACTCCCATTAGCCTATTGGACTTTCGGCATAAATTATATATATGAAAGGAGGCTATCTTTCTCCATATGCTTGACATGTCAGCACACGAGAGCTTGCCATGTGTCAACATAAATTAAAAGCAAACTCACAAAGTCCTCTAGGTTAACCCTAACTAGCAAAACAAGTTTAACTATCCGTTTGGCCTAGGGAATATGAAACATCTTCCATGTCTTTTATTCTCTTCATATCACGAACGGTTTCAGCATTTACGTAAGAGATCTAGAGAGACTTAGAACATGTCGATGAATAACATAATAAAGGAGATGCATCACCAAAAAATAAGAGGGCATCGAGAGTGAAACCGTAAAGAGTCGCTTCTTCCTCTCGGCGTAAACCATGAAGATATGGTTTGGGCGTTACAAGTTACAACTTTATCTTTCACTTCTAAAAGTGAATCGAGAACACAAAACCCTTTGCTGGATAATCTTAAAAGGTTAGTTCTCCGACAAAAAGATGAATCCGTGATATGCACAGACGAAGGGGTCGCCACTGGTACAGAGGTTGCGAGACGTTATCTCCCGCTCTGATTTAATCCAAAATTTCCAAAGAGAGTCACCAGCCTAGAATCTTCGAAAATAGTTAGAGACTTGATCTCCGCCGGGCATGGATGAAACTGACGACAACGAGGAGAAGAAGGACATGTTATCTTTTTTATTTTCGAATTGATTATCATCTGTATTATTACCTCATTCTACGACATGTTGTCTTACCAGGAAAATCTCTTGACGTTTCAAATGTCAACGCTAAAATCCATAAGGCTGTGACAGAAGCTTGTCAATTGATTTCATTCCTAGCTATGTTCATCCTGAGGACATTAGCCATGGCTCACCACATGATCGAAAAATGCAGGTTTCTCTCTTTCTCAAAATTTTAGGCACAAAGATGATGACTCGAGTTTAAAAATGATAATCACGTGTACACATGATTTGACATGTGTGATCATCATTTGATTTTTGCTCAGATAGTTTTTTTTTTCCCTATCTATGGCTTCAAAATTGTTTATTAAGAAGTTCTGATGAAAATTGATTCAAGAGTGGTTCTTTTTGTCTGAATGATATGTTGTTGAGGAGATGTTGGAAAAAATATGGTGACACTAATAGTACTATGTACGTTAATTTCAAATATCTAAGTAATCGATTAACTGATTTTTTTCTCTGTTGTAATCGATGTATGTACTATTAGTAGTGAGTCTTTATTTTGTTCATGAGATTTTCAGTTCCTGTCAGATTCTACCATACAGATTGAGCCAAAAAAAGATGAACTAAAAGAAGAAAAAGAATGGACTAAAGACAAAGCAACCTTGAACATCATACATCTTTTGGTTCAGTATAAAGCAAAACCCTTATCTTGACTTGCATTCATCGTTCTAAAACAGAAAGACCTTGTGAAGCTAGCTATAACATCTTCCAAATGCCTTCTTGGTTTATTCAAACGTGAGGAGGTTCTTTATGTTAAAGAAAACAAGAACAATGTCGGAGGTAATCTGATTAATATAATATCATAATCCACCTTTTAATTGTGGTTCGATCATTCGTTCGAATATATGAAGCTACTATATATGTGCGATTGAATATAATTTTTGGAATAGGACCCACCCAAAGGCGAATTTAAGAGCAAGACAATTGAAACTGTTGTCAAAAATTAAGAAGAGTCATGAAATAGTTTTAGTTATGTGGATTACATTATGTTTTTCTTTCTTTTTGTTGGCATGGTAATATTTGAGATGATTTGATTCTTTAGGATTTGGGAACAATCAGTCTAGGGATATTGTTTTTGTCACACCAAAACTCAACATTCTATTTAGTGGAATACATCAAGAGGAATAAGAGCTTAAGTTTGATTGAATCTCGACATCAATAAAGGAGGTACTAATATAGAAAGTGTTTTAGGAAAGCTCAAGCCTGGAGACGTGAGGATGGCGTCTACCATATATGATATATATGTGTTTCTCCAAGCAATGAGCCATCTCAGAACAGTAATAATTGCTACATGCAACAAACAAACAAGCGAAAATGAAAAATAAACGCAAGGACCTTGATCTTTCAGAAAGAGTTCTAGAAGTGAAAACTAAAAGCACGAAACTTAGAGAAAGCTTGTTGGACAAAAAGGACGAGCCAAAGAATGTTTATGTAGCAAATAGAATGCTAGAGAAATGGAGGTTTGTCATTGGAAAAAAATCGATGAGTTACCATATGTGAATGAAAGCAGGGTGGATACCCATAAAAATCTACAGAGCATTATTCAAGAAGATGGGGAGCTCAGAGTGAGGGAGACATATCTCAATAAGATTGAGCAGTTGTCAGAAAAAATTGAGATCTTGTACTATAAAGCATTGTTCAAGAAGTTGAGGAGCTCGGAGGAAGGGAACTCACTTGTTTGCAGACGATTGAAAAGTTGTCAGTAGTGACCAAGAGATTGGTTAATATTTCAGAGCAATTAATGAAAGTTAGGTGCTTACAAAAAGAAGTTTTATATCAAGAAGATTAGGGATTCTTTCACTATCGAATGAAAGATAGTTGAGAAAAAATCAAAACTGTAGAATGTTGGTTTAGGAAAATACAGAGTGAAAGAGGAAGGGAGTAGGCGAAATAAAAAAGAGGAAGGGAGTCTTCTTATTCTAAGATTGGAAAGTTATCAACAAGGAAAATGAAATCGTTTCTTATTAAAAATCAAACTCTAGAGTTATATTCAAGAAAATGAAGAGCTAAAACGGAAGGTATCTATCTTAACTATATGAAAGGGTTAGCGAAGCTGCAAGAAAATCTTCTTGATAAAAAAAATCCTAGAGATATGAAGACCATAGAGCCAAAGAAATGAGAAGCTTAAATACGAATATATTTAATCACTTAAGATTACGACAAGAATTTTAGAATGTTTCATTCAAATCTCTTTATCTACCAATTAAACAAGGAGGCAAATAGTACGATTATTTTCACTTTCTAAACAAAAAATATTTGACTACAAAAATCAAAGTTTTAGAATTAGGTTTAGCTTCAAACAAAATTGAGGAATAGTTATTTGTCTTTCATCTTTGGTATTCTTCGCCGCATTTTTTTTTCGATGAATATATGATTTTTTATCATGTGAAAATTAAAGTAACAAAGAAAGTAAATGGTAAACAAACCCGCGCGTAGCGCGGTTATTCACCTAGTATTAACTAATGATCGCTATCTGCCAACTACTCCTGTAAAGATTCTTGACAATTTGATAGATAATTTATTAGTTGAACAAATGGGTGGGTTTAAATATGCATATAAATTATTGAAACCATGATATGTGGTAACAAAACAGCTGTAAAATAATGATACACTGTAAAATAATGATACACTAAGAGCAAACACAGTGGAGCAATAGATGTTCGGGTGTTAGTTATAAATAATTGAGAAATATTGCAAAAGTTACATTTTCAACAAAATCCGGATGTGTAGACTTACACTCAAGTGTGAGTCATTATAAAAATAGAAAAAAATTTCTTCTCTCTATCTCTTTATCTCTTTCTTTTCTCTCTTTCTCTTTTAATTATAATAATAAATAATTACTTACATCCACAATTACACATTTGCCAATGTGAATGCCCTAATAATATATGACCCTGATCACTTGTTACGATAAAGCCAACGTGGTAACATGTATCATCGGGTCCACCACTTCATATTACCAAAAGTCGTCGCCTTCTTTGGAATTTGTAAATTAAAAAAATAACAAATTAGAAACTAGATATATACACTATTATCTTGACATTTTCAACCTACCAACAAATCTCCCTTGCTAACTCTGCTTTGCCTTTTTCTTTTCATATTGTAAACATTTTGATTTTTGAGTAGGGAAGATTTGACTCTCAAATATCACTAAAACCCCAACTCTCTCTCTTTAGTGATTTTCAAAAGTTTCTACGTGCTTTTGCAACTTTCCACAAACACAACGTTAACTAACGGTTGTGGTTAAATACGATTGACACCAATCATAAATAATCGTTACGTGTCGCTTCATAATGTTTATAAACACATAGAAATTATTAAAATGAACTCATGACTTTACAAGTTCAATTAAATTCTTTTCAAACTTATCAATATAACCATCTGCAAAACCAGAGTCAGTCAAAACACATCTCCACTTCTCATGATTCTTCCTCACTTTATCACTGACCTCACTACCTTCCTCCATCACACTCTTCACCGCATTCTCCAAGCTCCGCTGCGAGAACCACCCATTCTCTTCCCTCTCCACTTCAACCGCCACCTCCATCTCCTCTGTCATCAGCCTCGCGTTCAAAATCTGTTCTCCGTGCTGTGGAACCAGAACTATCTGACAATTACTCATCAAAGACTCCCACATCGACCCAAACCCGCAATGGCTAACGAAACATCCCACTGAAGGATGGTTCAACACCAACGGTTGCTGAATCCAACCGCCGTACACAACGCCACGTCCTTGAACCCTCTCTTTGAATCCTTCCGGTAACGCTTCCTCGACGGTTGATACACCCGAAGGAGGCTTAATAGCCACCAGAAACGGGAAACCGGTAGATTCTAGCCCTAAACAGAGTTCTTGAAACTGATCTATCTTGTCTACAACGGGTTGGCTACCGAAAGCACAGAACACAACTGAACCGGGGTTGAATTTGGCTAGCCACTCTGCCCATTGAGGCTCTAAGGAGGGCTGATTAGGTTGGGATCCAGGGAGAACCGGTCCGGTTAGGTAAACCGGTTTGCTGTACTGGCTACTGATGTAATCGCAGAATTTGCCTTCTGTCTCACGGCAAGTCCTTATAGCGATTGCGTCAGAGTTTCTCATAGCGGTAACTTTCCCGTCAAAGAAAGAAGCAATACCCTCGTGCTTCCTCCACACGAAGGTTAGGGCTTTTGCTTCGTGCGCACGCAAGACGACTTTCGAAGAAGGGTAACCTAGAGGCGTCTTAGCTAACTCCTCCCCTGACATTTCCTTCCCATCAATGACCTCTCGCTCGGCTGCAGGTACAAGAGACAGTGCGATTGACGCAGCGCTCACAATGTTGAAGCAAACGGTTTTTGCACCCACCGGTTTAGCAATTTCCGGTATCCAATGGGCAGAATCATAGAAAACCAAGTCCGGTTTGATTGTACGGAAAATTGTCTCAACCTCTGGGCGGGTTTGGTCCATTGCAATTGCAAGCAAATGAGTCAAGAAGAAGGGGACGTCGGAGTTTGTTTCTGCACCGGGAGGGAGCCCTTTGACCTGAGGGATTGAGATGGTGCGAAAAGTGATGAGATTTGGGTAGAGATTAAGAGGTTCGAGCTGGTTTAGTGCTTTCTTGGGAAGCAAGAAAACAATCTTGTGACCTTTCTCTGCGAGCTTGTTTGATAGGTGAAGAAAAGGAGTCATGTGACCAAAGGCTAACCACGGATACATAACAATGGTCATGCTTGAGGAACCATTTGATCCAAAATCACCCATTTTTTTGGCTCTGTCTTGCACTTTCTTCAACTACCGGAAGATTTGTTAGAGTTTTTATTTTTGTTTCATATCTGAGTTATGTGTTTTAAGTGTGTATATATGTACATAAACCCATTAACGGATTGGTGAGTGTCGTGATGAATGGTGTATTGGGTAACCAAATGACCGGGAAAGTGTAACCTCCTGGTAAGTGCAAACACGTGATGGTGTCGTAACATCAACAAAAAGACAAAACCAGACTTCATGTGGTCAGTCATGGGCCTGAAAGATTCGGCCCACTTTTTAAACAAATTGAAGGTCGTTAGTTCGTTACTTATTAATCCCACAGTCAACGTTTGTATGTTTTAATTCAAAGGTTGTTTACGAACGATTGTCAAAGTGGTAACTCTCTGAATTAATTTAACGTTTCTTTCGTTTTATTACAATATAATTTTTTTTGTTTATATGGTTACCTAGTTGTGTTACTTTATGTGCTACTACTGTAGTGAAGCCAGGGCTAGCTCAACTCCCTACCATTCCTGGGTTTTTTCCACCCGGCTCCCAAGTTGATCTCGCAAAATGTTGGTCATCGCTCATCACATTCAAGGTTGCGAAGTCGAAATCTTTAAATCTGTTTTAACCGGTAAGATTGAAAACGTTGGACCAACATGCTGCAAGGCGTTTACGAAAGTGGATGCAAACTGTTGGCCAAAAATGTTTTCGTTGAATCCGTTATTCCCTCCTCTTCTCAAGGATGGTTGCTCTCGCATCATCGCAGGTGCACCCGCTGCACACACGACACCTCAGTTCCCTGTCATCTCTGGGTTCTCTCTTCTTGGTTCAGGCCCGGCCCGCCCATAAAGCAGCCAAAGCTTTTGCTTTAGGCCACATAATATAAATAAGATTTTAGAGCTGTATGTCCAATTTGTTTGCTGTGGTCAAGTTGGATGTGTATTATTTCAATGACTCACTTTTCGTCAGTTCGAGTCTTTCAATATATACGTTTCTCTTGTTTTTTTTTTTTCTCTTTTCTATTTCCTTTTGACTTTTTACATGTCTTTCTTTTTCCTCTTTTACGTGTCTTTCCTTTTTGTTTTGTAGAGTAGGAGAAAATTGTTTTTTATTTATTTATTAATTTATGTTTAGTTGTTTTTTTAGCAACCAAATCTCCAAATATTCTATTTAACTTGGCTAGTAGCCTAGTAGGTGTTATGATATTCTTAACTTTCGCTAACAAATCTGAATTTTAAAAATTTAATGACTTTTTCTAATGCATTTTTTCAAACATATTTTGATAATTTTTTAACATTAATTTTTATATCAAAAATTATATTTTAAATATGCTTTAGGCCACCAAAATCCTAAGACCGGCCCTGTCTTGGTTCTCCGGTCGATCTCACAAAATGTTTGTCAATTGTCATCACTTGTAAACGCTCAAGGTTACATAACTGAAATCTTAAATCTACAAATCAGTTTTCACAGGAAAGTTTGGTAATGTCAGGGCCGGCCCGCAGGACAGGCCACCCAAGCGGTGGCTTGGGGCACCACAATTTTTTTTTTTTATAAGGTTTTTTTTTTTTTGGGTAAAAAGGTCCATAAAATGAAAATATTTGGTAAAAACTAAAGTCTTTTTCGAAAAAAATAAATAAAATAGGGCCCAAACAATTAAATTTGAATGTAATAATATTCAAAATATCATTATTTTTGTATAATTTATTAAAAATAGGTCAAAAAAAATTTTAGCCCTAAAACTTATAAATATATTGGGCTTCATTTTATTTTTCGTGTAGGGCCTCACAAATGTTCGGACGGGCACTGTGTTAGACCAATGTGTTTCAAGGCGTTGTCGGCAATGGATGCAAAATGTTGACAACAAATGTTTCCGCTAAATCCGTTATTTCCTCCTGTTCTCAAAAATGAATGTTCTCGCATCAACATAGCCGCTCCTACACAAGTGAAGTAGCTATGGCCTATGGGACCATCATTCAGAATGTTTTAAATTAGGCAATTAAATTCATGAATTTCCCTATTTCAGATGTTGGCTTGTTGGTTTGTTCTAGGTTTTAGTATCTACAATAATATTAAAAAATTCAAGTTTCTAGCTTAATCTCACAACTATCATCTATATATATATACATAGCTTGTTTAGATATTAGCTTGTTTTAAAACCGGAGATTTCCATCTACGTCCAAACCGAATGGTTATCTGGTTTTTAACCGCCGGTTATTATCTATCGGTTAGGACTCGGTTCGAGTCGCTTCCTCTCCTCTGTCTGTGCGACTGAATCGTCGTCTTCATTAGTAGCTCGAGCCGATTGATCACTTGTCGATGGGAACGGAGTTTCAACAGATTGCGCCATGGAATGAGAGCTTCTAGCTTCGAAAGGCCCTTTCTTTCAATGAACCCAGGTGCTTAAAATTCTTAATTTCATCCCTTTTTCGAACGATTGAGTTCTTTACCAATGACTCATCTTCATCCTTTTGTAAAACATAATCTAGGGGTATATGATTAGTGTCAATGGAGCAATAGTCAAGTCACAAGACGTACGAAATGTAAGTTGATCTCGTCGTATATGACCTTTTCTTTAGTTTTCCCACTCAAACTTTATTGTAAAGTATGTGAAAATTATTCAAATTATACACAAGTCACAATTTGTTCAAAGATTTTGTTATACCATTTCTTTTGTCTGGCAGATTAAGCAAGGTTTTTTTTTAAAAAACACAACTTTCTTGTTTCAAGGACTTGGTGTCTTATTATAATATATAACAATTCCGTTCTGTTGAATGGACCCTTTATTTGTTGACTTTGTAGCTATATTGAGTTTCCATTTTGAATGACTTGTGGTTAAATTCTTGAACTGATTATGTGTTGATCAGGACCATTTTTGCTCTGCTCTCTTGTTTTTTGTAAAATCTTTCTTCTTTCTCTTTTTATGGGCAACTCAATCTTTTTACTTTCATTGATATTTGGTCTCCCTTTCATTGTTGATTCAGTTAACTTTAAGTGTACTAGTTTTCGTCCAGGTGATCCTGAGAATGTGGTTTACCACGGGGATGCAATGCCCGATGGTGCGGTAAACTTCAACAACGTAGAGTATATAGCTCGTGTTGGTTGGGTTACTTATGCTGAGAAAGTGCCTCTATGGAATCCTAAAACTGGTAAGTCTACGGATTTTAATACCAGTTTTTCTTTCAGAATTGATACCCGTAACCTTTCGAATTACGGTCATGGGATCTGCTTTTTTCTTGCTCCTGTTGGAACTCAACTCCCTGTGAACTCAGCTGGTGGTTTCTTGGGTCTTTTTACTCGAATCGAAGATCACATATCTTCGTTTCCGCTTGTTCATATTGAGTTTGACTCATTCAGTAACAAAGAATGGGATCCTACAACTGTTGGATCTCATGTGGGAATCAATAATAACTCGCTTGTTTCGTCTAACTACACCTCTTGGAATGCAAGCTCACACAGCCAAGATATTGGTCATGCAAAGATCTCATATAACTCTGTTACTAAGAACTTGAGTGTGTCTTGGGCTTATGAATTAACGTCTGATCCTCTGGAGAGTGTAGGCATTTCTTATATCATTGATCTTGCAAAGGTTTTGCCACCAGATGTTACGGTCGGGTTTTCAGCCGCTACTGGATCAAACATAGAGGGACATAGACTTTTATCATGGGAGTTCAGCTCAAGTTTGGATAGTGAGAAAGCCTCTATCAGGAAAGGACTGATAGTTGGCATTTCGGTTTCTGGGTTTGTTTTTCTGTTCTCTTTGGTCACAATTGTGGTTGTCTTGTTGCAGAAGCATAGAAAAAGAAAAGCAAAAGAGATAAAAGATTTGGTATCGTTAAACGAAGACCTTGAACGGGATGCAGGACCACGGAGGTTTGTTTATAAGGATCTTGTTATAGCAACCAACAAATTCTCAGCCCAGAGGAAGCTGGGTGAAGGAGGGTTTGGAGCCGTTTATAGAGGTTACTTGAACGAAATGGATATGATGGTTGCAGTGAAGAAATTGTCTGGTGGTTCCAAGCAGGGAAAGAAAGAGTTTGTAACCGAAGTTAAGATCATTAGCAAACTGCGACATCGAAACCTGGTGCAACTCATTGGTTGGTGTAATGAAAAAAATGAGTATTTACTGATATATGAGTTCATGCCGAATGGTAGCTTGGACACTCACCTCTTTGGGAAAAGACCCCATCTCTCCTGGGACATACGATACAAGATAGCGCTCGGTCTATCCTCTGCGCTTCTATATCTTCATGAGGAAGGAGATCGGTGTGTATTGCATAGGGACATCAAGGCAAGCAATATCATGTTGGACATCAATTTCAATGTAAAAGTAGGTGACTTTGGACTGGCTCGATTGATGGACCATGGACTAGGTTCCCATACAACAGGGATAGCAGGAACTTTTGGGTACATGGCTCCAGAATACGTGATTGATGGAAGGGCAAGCAAGGAATCCGACATCTATAGCTTTGGAATTGGTATACTAGAGATTGTCACAGGGAAAAAGTCGGTCGATCTTTCACAAGAAAACACTGAGACTGAGGCTGAGACGAGTCTTGTGGAGAGAGTGTGGGATTTGTATGGAAGACAAGAACTTATGTCAGCCATTGACAAGAAACTCGGTGAGGATTTCGATAAGAAACAAGCCGAGTGTTTACTGGTTGTGGGGTTATGGTGTGGTCATCCTGATAGAAACTCAAGGCCTTCTATAAGACAAGCGATCCAAGTACTGAACTTGGAGTCACCATTGCCTCAGCTTCCTCCGAAGATGCCCTCTGCTACGTTTCACATCTCACCTTCTTCTTCTCTCTTGCTTAGCTCAAACAGAGTTTCAGTCATTCAAGTTAGTCGGGAGCAGATGATGAGAGATGAGGAAGATCTTGGTGGCCTTTGCGGTTCAGAAACTTGAGTGTAATCCTAACTTACATAATTGCCAAAGATCTTTGTCTGTGTGTGTATGTGTACTATGTGGTTTTGGTTTTGCATGATTTCTATTATTTGAATAGGAGGATTTACCTTTGCCTCCTCCTTCCGTTTACTTTTGATAGTTTATCTTTGCCTCTGCCTGTTATTTTTTTTTTTAATCAAAGTATTTGCTCTGTTTTTGAGATATTTTTCAAGGAAACAACCAGGCCAGACATTCCGTTAACTCTTCGGTTTCAGTTCGGTTGTGTTCGGTTTCAGTTAGTTTGGATATGGTAATATAATAACTATCCGGATACTTGAGAAATTTCAGTTCGGATTGGTTTGGTTTCTTTTCTTTCGATTCGGTTCGGATAGTTGAATAGATAAACATAACTAACTGAAATTTTATCGAGTTCTGTTTGCTTCGGTTTCTTTTTAATCCAAAATAACCCGAAATTAACAAAATTAAACCGAAAAAATACAAAAAGAAATACAAAAAGGGAAAAATTAGTAAGAAAATTAAAATTTAGATCGATTTTGCAAAAGAGTATTTAACTTTGATAAATATAACTAATAATATTTGGATATATTGATTATTTAAAGTATTTGATTGCTTTGAGTCTAAAAATAATTAACATTTTTGAGTTTATAATTATCGTTTTGGATATTATTTTTGGATATATTCTAGGTGTTTGAATATTTTGGTTAACCGTTTGGTTATTAGCTCGGTTCGGTTCGGTCGGTTACTCGGTTACCGGTTCGGATACGGTTTGGTTCTATTGAAATTCAAGATAATCCAATTAAATTAGAAAAGATAGAAAAAAATAGGGCCAAAAAAAACCCATGTTTTATTGAAATTCAAGATGCAAAAAAAAAACCCAACACTTAACTAGAATATGAAATCCAAAACATAAATAGAAAAAAAACGCAAAAGAAGATCGAAGCAAGCGAACTAGACGGGAATCATTAAGGGAAGTAATGAATATTGAAAATTCAGAACAACGAATTTGTTTTCCCACTGATTCCAGTAGAGTTTCAGAACATGGCCTTCTCCGACATCTAACGAATGCTTCATAGTACTCCAACCAGACCCGAAATAATATTTAGGCTTGTCGATACCTGAAAGTTTTAGAGTTACTGTGTATAAATCGTCTTCCAGTAAGTCGTGGACTTGCACTTCAACACCGTTTTCCAAATCTTGATCGTTAACATTCATCCTCGTGAGGACAGACATCACTTCTGCTTTTGGTAATACTACATTACCAACAACATCACTCTTTGTTAGCACTTTCGTTATGATCATAGCCGGATCTAATGGATCGTTATAATTCATCTTGCTAAATTTTTAAGAAAAAAAATGCTTTTAGAAGTAGAAGAATATTTGCATATTTTTTTGCACTCTATTCAAACATATATATAGGAGAGTACTTAGCCTAAAAAGAAAGGAAAATTACAAAAGAAAACAAAAAAAAATTGGAACTCTTCCTTTAACAAATTGGAAAATTGTCTAAATATCTAGCATTTCCTTAATATGTCAATGGAAAGAAAACTTTTTGCAAATTACTGATTTAGAAATTTTTCATTTTGTAAATTGAGAAAAAAGTTTTGTGCAAATTATTGATTTAGATTCATTTCCATTTTGTAACTTGGGAAGAAAGCTTTATGCAATTTCCATGTTCATTCTCATCTCTTTCGAGGTTTTCAACCAATACATTGGCCCAAACTAATATAGTATTTACAATAGCATTTTACAAGCCCAAAGTAATCAAACTCAATAAAAAGTATAACAAAATCTGAAATTTAATTTTAATAGTTGCTAAGCTTGTTGTAGGAGATCATTGGGCGTGGTATTCGAATTGGTGGCTTATAGTATCTAGACCATGTTCATACGAGTCGTGCAAATCTTGCAAAAGGACCCATATGGTTGTGGCATCGTCAGTTAGGTAGCCCAAAAGCTACATTTTAGTTATAACCTTTGCTGTTGTATAGTATAAAATAGGATAAATGTTACAGCTTTTAGTCCTTTGAATACATCTTATTTACTACAATGTTAACCGTCAACATAGTATAAAGTCTATTCCAAAGGTTGTTGACATAACGGACGAATCTTAAAATGTAATTAACTCTTGTAATAAATAATAATGACTATTAACGTATACGTTTAATTTGAGTTCCTCTATAAATTGTTTGTTTCTTTTGATAACCAAAACCATGACAATCAAACAATTCACTCTTAAAATAAGGAGACGATAAGTGCAATGGAAGGTAGGATCCAAGTGCTTCTCTCGCTGTTGAAGTCGGGGCTAGCCGAGGTCTAGACCATACCATAATTACAACATTCCATTCTTGGTTCTTTAGTTGATTCTCGCAAAAATGTGTGTATATGAAATAGGAAGTTAGGGAGACCATGGAAGGTAAAGTCGACCGATGCAATATGGCGGCAATGTGAGCATAGTCGAATTTCACCAGCCATGGTATCTCTTCTCCCTTTTTCATCTTCCCACCGGATTCACTCAAGGCTCATCGCTTATTCCATTATCCTCTATGTAACATGCCGCGTCTTCAGCTGCGGCCATAACCAATGCTAAGCCACTATAACAGGTTTGTTGTTGATCTCTTCATCGACATTAACGCTCTTTATATATTCCTTAAAACTCTCGATTGCATTTCGAGTAATGGTTAATTTTCTAGTGCGTTTAAACATTGACGTTACAATATAAACTTCTAGTTTTAATATTCACAAGCATGGCTGGTTATTTCAATTCACATATACTGTTTTATCATACATCTACAATACTATGAATTTTATTATCATATAGAAATAACGTAGCTCTCATCACAGCCCTGTAACTCTAGTTAACCTATAAGCATTTTAACTGATGTATACTTTCCCCTAGCGACACTTGTCATCATGCATGAAATAAAACTTAATGGCTCGGTTATCACCGATTCATCTTGACCGACCACAAAGATCCAACGGCTAGCTAGAGACGCGATTATACAAGTGTTCTTAACTTGTTATATTCTTACATAAACGGCCAAAAAGTTTCAGAAAAATAGAAACGGCGTAGGAAGCTACTATGACGGCGATTCCAAATGTTATCGATATTGAATCTTCGTCTTCGCTTTGTCAAGAGACGGTGTCTCCGTCAGTTGTTGAGACTGCGAAGCTAGACCACGTCGTGTCACTAATCAAGGAAGAGGAGGATGACGTCGTTTCACTTGGTTTTTGGAAATTGCACGAGATAGGTTTAATTACACCGTTCTTGAGAAAGACGTTTGAGATAGTTGAGGACACAGTAACAGACCCGGTTGTATCATGGAGCCTGACCCGTAAAAGCTTTATCATTTGGGATTCTTACGACTTCTCGGAGAATCTTCTTCCTAAATACTTCAAGCACAAGAACTTCTCCAGTTTCCTCCGCCAGCTTAACTCCTATGTAAGCACACAAAACGAGTTTTTACTTTTTAGCTATGTTTCTTGTTTTACAGGCTTTGTAAAAACTAGGGTTTTTTGTAGGGTTTTAAAAAGGTTGATTCAGATAGGTGGGAATTTGCTAACGAAGGGTTTCAAGGAGGGAAGAAATATTTGCTTAAGAACATCAAGAGGAGAAGCAAAAGTACTAAATGTAACAAGGAAGCGAGCACCACTACCACCACCACCACAGAGACAGAGGTTGAGTTATTGAAGGAGGAACAGAGTCCAATGAGATCGGAGATGTTGAAGTTGAAACAACAACAGGAAGAATCTCAACATCAGATGGTCACTGTGCAGGAGAAGATCCACGGAGTTGAATCCGAACAACAACATATGCTTAGTTTCTTTGCAAAGTTGGTTAAAGATCAAAGATTTGTGGAGAGGCTGTTGAAAAAGAGGAAGATGAAACAACAGAGAGAGCTCCAAGCAGCTGAATTCGTGAAGAAGCTCAAGTTGCTTCAGGATCAAGAAACTCAAAACAACTTGCTAGATGTAGAAAACCATCTGGTCATTAGAGAATTTATGGCCATGGCTGCAACACAACACAATCCCAAGCCTGATATTTTGATGAACAATGAAAGCGGGAATAGGAGATGTCAGCTTAACACAGAGGACCTACTTGTTGACGGTGGTTCGATGGAAGCAAAACACGTAACATAGCATTAGAGAAGATACACAATACCATGCTTTATCCGAATATGTACCTTATGTTGTATGGTTTTATGTCTATACAAAAAAGGGACTTGTACAGAGTCGTCTAGATTACTGTAGCTCTGGTAAAAAGGGACTTGTAAAAAGTGTAGATCTGGTTTACTGTCTTTGATAGCTCTCATTTATTATATTTCATGATACATGTATATCAGAAACATATCTTCCATTACTAATAAACTTTTTAACTAGTGAGTAGTGTGACTAGTGTCTAGTGATCTTGTTTGTAATCCTAACTCACATAGTTGTCAAAGATATTTGTGTGTGTGGGTGTAGCAAGTGAACCATGTGTGTCTGGTTTTGGTTTTCATTTAAAAGTTCTTTATTCAATTTGATTGATAACTACACTTGTGTTATGTAGCAAGAAAATAAAGTAAAGAGTGAAAATAGAAGAAATAAAAAGTTCAGCAAGGGTGAAAGCAAGAAAATAAAGTAAAGAGTGAAAATAGAAGAAATAAAAAGTTCAGCAAGGGTGAAAAAAAGGAACCTGTCAGACCGCCGTGCAACCACCCCGGCAAGGTAGAACCGAGCCGAGTAACGATCCTCTACAGTACCGGATGCGTCTAAAGACGATCGTAGCCGTCAATCACGCTCTAGTCGCACGGTCATGGTTCATCAACCAGGGTTAAGGGCCTGTCTCTTGAGAAATCAAGGAAACAGAGGTACGAGCCTATAGAACAGATCCTGTTCAAGTAAGGTCGTGACCATCAGTACTTTGTAGCCATATATAAAGAAGTCGTTGTTTCACTAGCTTACCGATGTGGGACACAAAATCAGTAAGACAAAGCAATCATAAGCTGATGGGCCTAATTGTAAACAAACCCATTCATGTTCAAGCCCAATAATTAGAAAGTGGCATTATTAGGAAAAAGCAGAGTTTTAAATTCAGACGTTGTTTCTTCTTCCTCTTTGATCAATATGCCACGTCCGCATCACTCTCCACGTTATTGGTTTATCTCTATCGATCATCGTCTCTCTCTTGCAGTCTCTGACGTGAAGAAGCCATGGAAGAGAAGAAGAAGAAACTTGAAGACTTAAAGTATCAATCAGGTTTCGGTAACCACTTCTCGTCGGAAGCAATAGCCGGAGCTTTGCCTTTAGATCAGAACAGTCCTCTTCTTTGTCCTTACGGTCTTTACGCCGAGCAGATCTCCGGTACTTCTTTCACTTCTCCTCGCAAGCTCAATCAAAGAAGGTTCCTTTCCTCTACAACTGTTTTCGATTTGTAATTTTTGGATGATTTCGTTGAATTGATCTTCTTCTTCTTCTTCAGTTGGTTGTACCGGATTAAACCGTCGGTTACACATGAACCGTTCAAGCCTCGTGTACCAGCTCATAAGAAGCTTGTGAGTGAGTTTGATGCATCGAATAGTCGTACGAATCCGACTCAGCTTCGGTGGAGACCTGAGGATATTCCTGAATCGGAGACTGATTTCGTTGATGGGTTATATACTATTTGTGGAGCTGGAAGCTCGTTTCTTCGCCATGGTTTCGCTATTCACATGTAAAAATATCTTCTTTTTTTCTTGGGTATTTTTGGTTTAGATCAGTGATAGATAAAGTAATGATCTTTGTATTCATTTTTTTGAAGGTATGTGGCTAACAAAGGAATGAAAAACTCTGCATTTTGCAACGCTGATGGTGACTTCTTGTTAGTTCCTCAAACAGGAAGTAAGTTCTTTACTTTCAAATTGTGTCTATATAAGTTCATTGTTATAAAGTTCACATCTTTTGGTAAGAAAGTCAGTCATGTATGAGGAATGGATTCAAGATCGTCTTTGATGAATTCTGATATTTTTGAGTGGGTGTTTTAGGGCTATGGATTGAAACTGAGTGTGGAAGGCTTTTGGTAACTCCTGGTGAGATTGCTGTTATACCACAAGGATTCCGTTTCTCTGTAGATTTACCGGATGGGAAGTCGCGTGGTTATGTTGCTGAAATCTATGGGGCTCATTTTCAGCTTCCTGATCTTGGACCGATAGGTATTCTTGAGTTCTTAGATTCAGCCTGAATAACATGGATTATCCGCAAGAATCTTATCGTTGGATGTGTACAGGTGCTAATGGTCTTGCTGCACCAAGAGATTTTCTTGCACCAACTGCGTGGTTTGAGGAAGGTTTGCGTCCTGAATACACAATTGTTCAGAAGTTTGGCGCTGAACTCTTTACTGCTAAACAAGATTTCTCTCCATTCAATGTGGTTGCCTGGCATGGCAATTACGTGCCTTATAAAGTGAGTACATGGTTTATGGAGCCTAATCTTGTAAAAGATTAATGCATTTTTTTCTGATAACATCAATTTCTGTCTGCAGTATGACCTGCAGAAGTTCTGTCCATACAACACTGTCCTTTTAGATCATGGAGATCCTTCTATAAATACAGGTTGGTGGTCCTCTGCGCTAAACCTATTCTTCTTTCTGTTTCGTTATGGTTGCTTACTGTAAATCACACTCTCTGGGGGAATTATTGTACTCTCAGTTCTTACAGCACCAACGGATAAACCTGGTGTGGCCTTGCTTGATTTTGTCATATTCCCTCCTCGATGGTTGGTTGCTGAGCATACTTTTCGACCTCCTTACTATCATCGTAACTGCATGAGTGAATTTATGGGCTTAATCTACGGTGCATACGAGGTAAACTGCTTTAAGTTCCTGCTACTGAAAATCATTAGCTGGCTTGTGTTCTCCTCCTCCTAAAATCTGTAAACTGACTCCACCATTCACAGGCCAAAGCTGATGGATTTCTCCCTGGCGGTGCAAGTCTTCATAGTTGTATGACACCACATGGTCCAGATACTACCACATACGAGGTGTCAATCCATCTTATGCAACAGTAAACTACACATTTGATTTCATTTTCCTCCGAGATCATGTCTAAATTTAACCCCTGAATGTGAAATACAAATTAAGTCTGAAGCATTTTTATTATTATTTTGTAGGCGACAATTGCTCGAGTAAATGCAATGGCTCCTTCTAAACTCACAGGTACAATGGCTTTCATGTTTGAATCAGCCTTGATCCCTAGAGTCTGCCATTGGGCTCTGGAGTCTCCTTTCCTCGACCACGACTACTACCAATGTTGGATTGGCCTCAAGTCCCATTTCTCACGCATAGACTTGAACAAGACAAATGTTGAACCAACAGAGAAAGAACCAGGAGCTTCGGAGTAAAGAAACACAATTCACCTGGACCACTTTCAATACCCAAGCTGTACAGACTTTTACCATATACTTGTATAAGAAAGAAGCATACAACAAGTACATATGTAATAAGTAGGTAGTATTTCTTCATATCACTTTAATTACATCATTTGTACTCTGAAGCTAATATAACGGTGTTGGTTTAGATACTAATGAATATAACTGTGCCATTTAGATTCAGGCTACAACATCAGTCAGTTTCACTTTCATCTTCATGATGCCTACTTGCACTAAGATTTCTTTCTTTGACTGTTCTACTTTCAAAACAGTCGCTTTTTTACCAAGAGAAGAAACAAACACCGAGCTACCGACTTCAGGAACCTTTTGAGCTGCAGCTTCTGTTAATGCCAAAACATGGTTCAGTTTCAAAGATCATAACCAGATAATAGCTATCTTTTAAATGGCTTAAACTTATTTAAATACCAGAAATTGGTCGTCTCTCTACCACAGATGATGAACGAATTCCACTATCTTCATCCTTTGTCGTTTCGACTTTTGTTTGGAGTTGCGTAGCTACCTTTGACTGAGATGATTGTGCAGCAGATGAGCGAAACTGTTGCAATGTTCTGCGAAGTGTAGAACGAGTCATCGAACCAGCTTGAGTTAGTTCTTGTCTCATTTTTCGTCTCTCTTTGGTGGCATGGTCGTTAATGTTCTTTTGTGCTATGAGTAGATTATCATGAAGCTCTCTTGATAGCCTAGAACCGAAAAAGAAAAACATGAATATAAAGCTCATAAGAGAGGACAAGATTTAATGCTGTTATATAGAATCTTACCTTATATAAACACGTGACTCATTCAAAAGTCTCTGATATTCTTGCTTGTACCGTTCCATGTCAAGTATGACCTCATTAATCTCAGCACTTGCAGAGCCATAGAGTTCACGAGCACTCTCGATGATATCACATGGAAGCCCCAACCTTTCAGCTATGTTTATTGCATTCGAACGACCTGAAAATCATTTTCAAACGTGGGTTGCTGAAGCATATTAACACTGATTCCATTTTAGGGGTACACAAATCGATCATTAAAGAGTCCAGATGAGCATATAGCTAAACCTGGTACTCCCCATAAGATTTTGAAAGTGGGTTTTAGGTTCAGGTCATCAAACTCCATGCAAGCATTCTCAAAGGCGGAATTGCTACAATAGATATGGAAAGATATAAAAGTGAATACTCTTTAAAAATAGGGTCATTCAAGAAATATGTCAGGTGCAGTTATAACCTGTATTTAAGCGTCTTAAGCTCTCCATGATGTGTGGTTGCCATCGTGAGTAAAGAACCGCTTTCTGCAAAAGATTCGAGAATTGCCATCCCTAATGCAGCTCCTTCAAGGGGATTTGTTCCAGCTCCAACCTGTTATTATTAGCAGGCAAGACTTTAAAGCAGATTCTTCCAAACATATCCCGACCTTAAATCTCCTAAACTATATTATCATGACCAGTCTTTTAACTTACTTCATCTAACAACACAAGTGATCTGCTTGTTGAATGCGAGAGAATTTCCTGCAAGTTTACCAGTCAGAGGAAAAGAAACATGAGTTGTATATATATCAAGAGAGTTACATCTTCCAAACTAATTTAACCAATCATTCCAAACCAATAAATATCAACGCTGATAATTTATCTAAGAATCATGTTGTAAGATTTAGCGAGTCCAAACTTCATAGGAATAAAGCATTTTGAATCGTAGAAAAAGGGAACATAAAGTGATATAAAAGGTGTGACAACAACAAAGAACAGACTTACACTTATTTGTTTCAAATGACCAGAAAAGGTAGAAAGTGACTGCAGCAAAGATTGTTCATCACCAATATCAGCATAAATGTTGTCAAACCAAGGTATGCGTGCAGATTCAGTTGCTAGAACATAAAGACCTACAAAAACCATAACAATCATTTAAATTGATATAGTATTAAGTGACTGAAATCTCTCTCTCTCTCTCTCCCAAGGGATTTATATTTTTGGTGGAGTTT